ACAAAACGAAGCACTGACCCGTCATGCTGCGCCAAAGCGATTGCTTCTGATATGCAAATCACGTCTCGTTCTATCTGTACTTCAGGCACAAAGGTTTGCTGACGTTGTCGCGCCAAGGTTCTGGCGCACCTTAAGGTGCGTAAAAACCTTGACATCCTCATTGGGTAACGCAAGATCTCTCACTAGGTCTGCAGTGTCTGCCCCATGGCGCTTGGATATTGCAAATCAAGCAAGCTCTGTTATGTGGCTGGGCACTGAAGCGCGGCCTTGCGTGGGTTCGGCGAAGGCTTCCACGAAGACGGTCGCGAGAACAAGGGAGTGTAGTTTGGTTTGTACAGGCGACCTCGAACGCCTGTCGTACCGGGCGACTCGTGCTCAGGAAGAGATAGAAGACCATCAATGACTTCTGCTGTTGTAACAGATGTATCGCAAGCGCTCAGGTCAAGGTCCCAACCTTCCAGCAGGCGCCGGAAGCTAGATGGGTGGCCCTTGGGGGCCCCTTGTCGTTTCAAAGCTGCTTCGCACAACTGGGGGCCGATTTGCTCAGGCGAATACTTACTAGAAACACGATTGATCATCATCCCAACGTTGGCACAACTCAAACAGCTCAGGCAGACATACTTGCTTAAGGTGTGTAATCATCGATGGATGTGGTATGGATCCTAGCAACGTGCCCCCCGCAGACGGGCAATCTCCAGCCAGTCCATCGATGACCCCATCCGGACCATACATGCAATCGTCATCAGCGTTTTGCTCTTGCAACATCTGATCGTGATGTTCCCGCAAATAGTCAAGCAATTGGTCCACGCTGGCGATGCGAACGGTATCCCTCTGCGTGTATACAAATCAGCCTCGTCACACAGACCAGCCCTCTCCAAAAGCGCTTCGATAAAACAGCGAAGTAGATCAATGGTACACGCACTTGGAATTTCGAATATGTTGGGAAAACGTGTCAGCTGCAACGGCTTCAGACGCATGAAGCTCACCGAGACCAACAATGTCGAACGTACTGGCAAGATACTGGACGTCAGCAGTTTTCCTATTGAACTGACCGCGATCAGATAAGCTCATGAAGTGCAGATTGTATTAAGCAATGCTTGCGAAATCGGGCCCCCTCTCTCTAAGCTCAGGCGTTCGCTCGTCCGCCATCATTGCTTCAAATGTTATTCCTTTTGGCCCTCAGGACCAGGCTTTACATAGCGTTTGTCAACGAGATTTCCGATTTCACACTGCTTTTGCTCTGCGCTCTTGTTGCTAAGATTGTCCAGAAATCTGCCCTCAAAACGTTCCTGCGTGCAAGATGTCAAGTTCCCCATTCTGATTGTGTGGGCATGGCTATGCACTACAAAGGCATCTGCGCATAGAGGCCGCGTTTTCAACAGCACTCTTGACCACTTGTTCTGAATTCCCCGAGCTCGTTCCCCAGCACCCTTTTCCCCGTATTTTTTCTCGACAGAGACGAGTCGCCTGCCGCAGCTGATCCCACAGTGGACCTTCGCGCGGCTTCATGGCACACGACGCAGCACGCTCCCCTTCCTGCCTTGGCCACTCCCCTTTGTGCCATGACAGGCAGAGACGAATCGGTTGCCGCATCCGATCCCACAGTGGACCTTCGCGGCTCGATGGCACACGACGCAGCACGCTCCCCTTCCTGCCTGGGCCACTCCCCTTTGTGACATTGACAGGACCCTCGATCCTCGACCCTCGATCCTCGAACCCTCGATCCTCGAAGGTTCTCGACCCTCGATCCTCGACCCTCGATCCTCGAAGGTCTGGAGGATGCAGCAGGAGAGCCTTCGCAGCAGCATTGAAGGTCTGCCAGGGCCCGCCCCAGCGCAGGCATCCTCCCAAGAAGCCGGGGGCTGCCTGCGCTAGCCGGGCCCTCAGCAGCCTCTGCACCGACTCTGATGCCATCCTCAGCGCCTGCGCCTGGGGAAGCAAGGCAGCCTCACGAACGAACAACACACACCCATAACCCATAGGGGGGTCGTTGGGAGGAGGACTGGCTATGGGTATGGGTGCGGGTTGTCGGACCCTCGGGAACGCTCCCGTTCGAGCGGGGACCCCCCTTCGAAAACACGCACCCATAGCCCTCTCCGACCTCCCTATGGGTATGGGTGTGTGTTGTTGGTTCGTCACAGCTTGGCTCCAGAGTGTCAGAAACAACTGCATCAGTCAGAGCAGCCTCGTCAAAGTCCTCGCGCAGTGATCTTCCTGCCCCCGCCTCGGTGCGCCACCGCTTGGAGTCAAGGGGCATCTTGGGCAGCCGTCGCGAATGACGATGAGTCAAGTGAATCGGTGCGCAAACGATCATACGACAAAAGCAAATCACCACTGAAAGAAGCATGAAATCGCTCCACTGCCGTTTCAAGTCCATTTGAGTCTATATCCTGTGCTACTTTATTCACTGAGCTTCCTGTAACACCGCTCGATGCGCCTCCTCGGGGAGGGCGGCACAACTACGAGAGTCTGGCAAAGGAGACACACCAGGCATGTCAGAGGCACCGAGAGGGCGTCACCTCGGAGAGCTTCATGTGCACATGTACCTCGTCCTGTTCATGTTCGATGGTCTGTTGAACTCGGAATTGCGGTGGGTAGCGTGCCATCCTAGTATTCAGAAGCCACTGGGTGTTGCACAGCACATCGCGGCTGACCTGGGGAACAACTATTTGCATTTCTGTTTGCGAGCTGTTGCACCGCATGTTGGCATCGTGAGCGGACACACCCAACGACTCAAGGACACCTCGTATCCTCTCTACGGGGCAATTTAGTTCAACGTGGGCACTTAAGCGTATGCGGTGGGATGGCAACAAATTACCCGAAACGCCAACGCTACATAATCGCATCGTGCAGTCCGTGCCTTTGATCAGCCGGGCAACTCAACATGCATCGATGGAGAGGCGAATGTGGAAATCTGTTATTCGAGCAAGAGTACTTTCCAAAGACGCGCTCTCTTATCGAGATATCAACCATTGCTTTGCTTCGCGATGGCAATGCGCACTGATGTCATGCAAAGGAGGCGCCAACTCAAGCAACAACTATTGGACATGATCCATGGAACAACAATTTGCATGCAAGGGTGATTATGCGACTCATCATCCCAAACGAGTGCCCCGCACGATACGGCGTGAGACTTACGAGCTTGTATCGCTTCCTTCCGACCTGTCAGTACATAGCGATGCATGCCGTCCCTTGGCTGGCGCAAACATGTGTGGATTCCTGGTCGTTGGGGTGTTGATTCGAGCTCGGCTAGTCTGCGCGGCACCTCAACCGAAAGTTTCCCTAACGATTCCACGTGCACATGACACTCCAGGGAAGCCCCGCCACCCTCGACAATTCGATGGGTCGTCACAGTGGTATGGGAAGAAGAATTGGAGCCAGTACCAGTCAAGGAGAAACCATATAAGTACGACGATACATTATGGTTGCGGTTGTCTTGCCATCCCCCCCGGGCGGGTTACAATTTGCAGGCATTGCAATGCATTGCAAAAGCTCCTAGAGGACAGTGCAGGCGACGGTGCAGTCAAAGCATTTCGCTCTTCGCCGTAAAATCCCGATGGGCTTCTGACAACTTCAATCGCATGGACTCTCCGAGTAAGCTTGTTTTAGCTTGCCAGGAGGAGGAGGAGGAGGAGGAGGAGGAGGAGGAGGAGGAGGAGGAGGAGGGGAACTATATCAGGAGGAGGAGGGGGAGGAGGACGGGGATGAGATGGAGGGAGGATGAAGGCGGGGGGATGGGCATAGTATGTAAGGTGAGATCTTCATTTTTCGTCGGCCTTGCTAATGGCCGCGTGGCCTGACATCGATTACTCTTGCTTATCGCCGATGACCCCTTCCACCTCCACATTACCACCGCGGCCACAGGGAGAGGCCAGGGCGGCCTAGTTGCTCCGCCACTGTTAGCGCGCGTTGTGCTTGGCAACGCTGGCGTTATTGACGTTGAAATGCCACGGGCTCGCCATGTTTTTCTCGCGGTTCCGACGCATGCGTGTGTCTTCCATGCGTGCCAGGTCACAGGCCCGTACGGTTGCCCCACCAGCTCATCCAGGAACGATTCCCAGGCGACCTGTCGTGCAAAATGACGTGCAGAAGCTGGATTATCAGTGAGACATTTATTGGGCATCAGTCATTTCGAGGGTGGTGTCAGGCCGAGCAACCCTCATCAACGGCCTGCTTGAAAGCTCCTTGGAGCCTGGTTTGGGCGATCCTGTTTCTTTCGGGGGGGACCTTTGGAGCCCTCTTGTGGCTCTCTCGGGGCCCTTGCGGGGAGCCTTTCGCACGGAGGACATCGCCAAACAGCTCTGCCATATTAGCCCCCTCTCCTGTCGTGCCCGTACCTCTTAGTTAGGGTCTTTTAAGGCGTTCTTGGGGCCCTCTTAGGGTCTTAAGGCGTTCTCGAGGGCCTTCTTGAGTTGCCCTGAGGAGCCTTTGGGGCCCTCCTGTGGCCCTTGTGGCCGGCCGGCCGGCCCTTTGGGGGGCCCTCTGGGGACCCTCCGGGGACCACCTTGAGGACCGAGATGCCAGTCGAAAGCGGAAAGACGAGAAGGAGAACAGCAGTGCCAACATATTGCTTAGATATTTTTGTGATTTGGGCATGCCTTTGGGCACCTTTGGGGGCCTCCGTGGCCGTTAGATCCATGGACGCTCCAGCCCCTCGCGACCCCCCTACGTCCAGGCTCCTGGGGGCGGAGTTCACCCCCCCTCCGCAGGGGAGGACGGGGTTGCTTTTGCAAGAGTTGACCCCCTAAAGCCACCTATCCCAAAAGCTTGGCATCGCTCGGACGTGTGCATTTTTCCTTCGGCGAGGACCATCGAGGAGCATCTTTGATCATTTGGCGAAACCACGCACGAAACCGAACAAAAACACAGGGAATGGACGTCCGAGCGATGGCCAGAAAGAGCTGGCGAAATTGCAGCATCTCTTTCGCAGTTACCGCTGGGCCGCCCGCCGCCTCCTGCCACGGGGGGGGAGGCAGCCTTCCGCCCCCCCACCGCCGCAGGCGTGCGAGCGGCTGGGCCTCAACCCAGAGGCCGCCATCTTGGAGGGAGGCGGAAGATGAAGGGGGAGGAGAGAGAGGAGGAGAGGGGCGGGGGCGGGCAGGAGAAGGGGGAGAAGGAGGATGATGAGGAGGAGGAGGAGGAGGAGGAGGGGGAGTAGGAGGGGGGGAGGAGGAGGAGGAGGAGGAGAGGAGAGGAGGAGGAGGGAGGGGCGGCGGGGGCAGCATGTACGGAATCTGATCATGCCGTCAGAGCCAGTGCCCAGGAGGGCGAAGAGGAGGAGAAGGAGGAGGAGGAGGAGGAGGAGGCGGAGCAAGAAGAACACGACGAGCACTCGAGCGCAGCAGCAGTAGCTGTAGCAGCAGCAGCAGCAGCAGCAGCAGCAGCAGCACCACCACCACCACGAGGGCCAGCGGCGTCTGCTGGGCGGGCAGCGGCCCTGGAAGAGGCCCGCAGGCAGCCTCGGGCCCTTGCCCGACACGTCATAAGATCTGCTCGCTCCTCCTTCCGCTGTGCTGCGTTCCCCCTCCCCTCCTGCTCCTCCTCCTCCTCCTCCTCCTCCCTCCTCCTGCTCCTCCTCCTGCTCCTACTCCTCCTCCTTCCTCCTCCTCCTCCTGCTCCTCCTGCTTTTCCTCCTCCTCCTCCTTCTCCTCTCTCTCCTCCTGCTCCCTCTACTCCTCCTGCTCCTCCTGCTCCTCCTCCTCCTCCTCCTCCTCCTCTCTCCTCCTTCTCCTCCCCTCCTCCTCCTCCTCCTCCTCCTCCTCCTCCTCCTCCTCCTCCTCCTCCTCCTCCTCCTCCTCCTGCTCCTCCTCCTCCGCCTCCGCGCGCCACGCCTTCTGCGCCTGAGCCCGGAGTTCGGGGAACCCGCCGAGAGAGGGCCGCGCGGCGGCGGCGCGCCTCGCGGGCCGCGAGGCGGCGCGCACTCGCCCAGCGGGGCTCCCTTCTTTGAGAGGGGCGCCCGCCCTGCCGCGGCGCTCCCGGCACGATGCGCGGAGCGGTGCCGGCGCCTGCCGAGATGGAAGGGAGGAGGAGGAGGAGGAGGAGGAGGAGGAGGAGGAGGAGGAGGAGGAGGAGGAGGAGGAGGAGGAGGAGGAGGAGGTTGGTTGGTTGGTTGGGTTGGTTGGTTGGGTAGAGGGCGGGCTAGTCTAGCCCACCTGCGCCGCCGCGGCGGCTCCGCACAGCCGCCGAGGCCTGGCGGCCTCAACGGCTCAGGGCTCCTGCGGCAACACCTTCACTCGGGCGTGCTGGCTGCCGCCGGACGCCGGCCTCAGCCCTCGCACTCGGAGCCGTCGCTGTACTGCGCCGCTGCGCGCTCCCAAGCCACCGCCTCCGCTGGGCTGTGGAAGCCGTGCAGCCGCGCGACGTCGTAGATGTGCAGACGCCGCCAGTTGAGCCCGTAGCCCGGTCTCACTGCAGGTTCCTGCTCCTCTTCCTCGCCTGCGCCGGGCGCCAGCACTGGTCGCCAGATCGTCCGCTCGGCGTCTGTGAGAGCCCTCGGCTGCCCGAGCCGCTGTCTCTGCCTCCGAGGGTGCGGGTGTAGGCCGGCTCGCAGCCGCCGACGCGCCTCTGCGAGTCCGGCGGCCTCGGGGCCGCGGCACGGACCCAGAAGGCTGCCCCGTCCTCTCCGCTGCACCTGCGCGTTGGCACCGCACTGCATGCAGAAGAGCACCGCGTCCTCGTCGCCGCAAGGCCTGGCCAAAATGCTGTGGCCCCTCAGCTTCCATGGCACTGCAGGGACGTGGTCCACCTCCGGGCCGTTGTCACCGGCTCCTGTGGCTTGCTCACCCGGTGCGCCTGGAGGCAACTGGAGGGCCTCGGGCGCACCAACTCCGTGACATTGTAGGGGCCGTCTGCTGGTCGCTGGGCCGCCCTCGGCGTCGTGCTGGCCACCATCGTGCTCCTCCTGGTCGTCCATTGCGCCGGCACTCAGGCCCACGGAATCTCTGACTTCCGTTCCCTGCAGGTGCGCGTGGAGGTCCCCCAGCCATCGCGCCAGTTGCCTGGCTCGGCGCCTGCACGCAGCGGCGAAGAGGCGCGCCTCCTCGGGGACGCCCCACAGCCGGGCTCCGCGGCGCGCCAGGCGGTCCGCCGCGGCGTTCCCAGCGCGCCGCCAGCTCTCCAGGTGGCTCGTCATGGCGTTCACCCCGAGGTGCGCCTTGACCTTCACGACCTCGACCTCCTGGTCGCCCATCTCGGCCCACCACGCTGACCAGAGGTGCCGCCGCACGTTGGCCTCGCGCATGGCGAAGGCCCCGTCGCGGGCGCACTTCACCGTGCCCTTGCAGTCGCAATGGGCCCTGAGAGGGCCCTGCCCGAGCTGCGACAGCATCTTGAACGCGTAGTCCTCGCCGTCGCGCGCCTCCTGCAGCGGCGCCTGCGCCAGCGGCACCACGCCGTAGGCCGCGCCCGTGATCTCCCGGTCGTCATTGAAGGCCACGATGGCCCACCCTGCCCGCCTCATGGAGTCGTCCTCCACGTCGAAGGCGCTGCCGTCGACGAAAACGTCACCCGAGAAGAACCCCCCCTCGGGTCGCACGTGCCACACGAGGTGGTGGGCCTCTGGAGCCTCTGACCTCGAGAAGCATTGCTGCGCGGAGGGTAGCAGACCTCGGGCGAACAGCTCACCCGCCGCCTCTCCGCGTTCGCGCACCACGCGCGCGGCGGCCAGCAGCTCTGGCGGGCAGCGGTCCCTCCTGCGCACCGCGTGGCCGTCGCAAGCGAAACAGCGATGCCAGAGCGTGCCCCGCTCCGCGCCGCACAAAGTGCATCGGTCGCTGTCCGTCTTACCCTCGTCGCACAGCCGGGCCTGCGGCCAATGGGAACCTCCGAGTAAGCTCCGAAGAGCCCGCTGATGGCCGACCGTCCACTCGGAGTTGTCCACCGCCTTCGGCCCGAGGAGCTTGGCCAATGGCGCCCAATTGAGCGGGGTCGCCCACGTGCCGGCCCCTCTCAGCCTGGCCAGCGCCGCCACGTCGGACATCTGGCACGCGTGTCGGCGAACGATCTCCTTGGCAGCCCCCGGAGAGAAGTCCCGCAACCGAATGACCTCACCTCCTGGGATCTCGAGGGCATCGAACCGCGGCATGTCCAGCCCTGCCCTGCGCAGCCCAAGGCAGCAGGCCTCCGCTGGGCAGCGGCACAGATTCCAGGGCCTCTCACGCATCAGGATGCCGCTCGCGGCCTCCCAGCACGTCTTCATCACCTCCTCCGTGACGAGCCCCCGCGCCAGTGTCGAGGTCCAGGCGCGCGCAAGCTCGGCGGCATGCAAGACCCAGGGGTCCCGCGAGGCCGCGCGTGGGTGCGCTTTCAGCCTGAGGCCGACGCTGCACCCCGCTGGGAGCCTGCCAGCAGCCTTCGCCGCCAGGATTCTGAGTTGGTGCAGCTTGCCGTCGGCTATGCCTGTGACCGCCGATCCCCATAGTGCAGTCGCCGTAGGGCTCCCCCTCTGGAGCCCTGCTGCCTGAGCTTCTGCCCTGCGGAGGGCCTGCACTCGGAGGGAAACGCGCGCAGCTCGTTGCATTCGCACGTCTTGCTCGTGGACCCTCCGCCACCTGCCATCCGTGGCGTCGCAGCCCAAGTTGCGTGCCCCGGAGCTCCGTTGGCCGCCCTGGGACCCAGCTGCAGCCGCCTCTGCCCCCAGCGCCGCGTCCATGGCAGCATCCACGTCCGCAGTGTTGGCGAGGTACTTGGTCTTCTTCCAGGAGATGGGCAGGCCCTTCTCGACCAGCCCGCGCACGAGGTCGAGCGTCGCGTTCGGCAGCTGCTCCTTCACCTGCTTTCCTCCGCCCACCGCCTGCACGAAGACGTCGTCGACGATGTTCTGGCAGCGCACCACCGGGTACAACTTCTGCACCCGCTTCGTGAGCACGTGGAGCAGCAGCTTGGCCACTCCTGTGGCGCACGAGCACCCCGCGGTCAGGGTCCCGTTCGCCCGGATGCCATCCGAAATCGCTCCATCCCAGGTGGCTCTGCGGCTGAACCTGTAGCTCAGGCACAGGAGCTTGAGGAGCCTCTGGGGGAACCCCGTTTCGCCCGCCGCCTTCGCGAGCTCGGCGTGGCTGACGTGCTCGTAGAACTTTGCAAGGTCCACCACGCCTGCCCCAGCAGCCATCCTTTTGAGCCGCGCGAAGCTCGCCAGCAGGTTGGAGACGAGGCCGGCGGCATCGCAGGACTTGTCTTCCGAGCCCCAGAAGGCGGGGTTCTTCAGGTCGTCCTCCCACCGTTTCACAAGCGGCTGGCGCAGCCTGGACCATAAGCGGATCCACAGGCAGCTGAGGTGGATCGGCCGCATGCCCCCGTCCTCCTTGGCCAGGAACACCGTGATCAGCTCCCAGAGCCTCGCGTCGCACGGGCGGGCCTCCCACGCCTCCAGGATCCTCAGGAACCGCTCACGGTAGGCCTGCGGCAGGTGAGCGAGCTTCTTCGGATGGAGCCTATCCCACCCGAGTCCGCATCCCGCCTTGTACCTGTCCAGCGCCGCGTCCAAGTCTACTAACGATAGCGCGGGAAGCGGGTCCCCGTCGGGCCACAAGGCGGGGTGCTGCTCATCGTCCCGGCTGGCCTTGCACCAAAGGGGCATCCAGTCGTCGAGCAGCACCTGGAGGGCCTCCGAGCCTGCAACCGGAAGGCCTGGTCCCTCCTCCTCGTCCTGCACCTTGCCAGCTGCGGCCCCCTCCTGCCCGGGCCCGGAGCCATTGCACGTTTTCTGCTGCATGACCGTGGAGTCCAAGTCCCGCTGCTTGATGTACTTGAAGGCCCTGGAGCCTCCTAGCTCGGCAGCGGCCGCCTGGGCCCAGGCCTTCCACTCTTTGCCCTGCCGCTCCCGGTCCTCGTCGTCCATGCGGTCAACCTCCTTCTGGACCGCCCGCAGGAGCACCCCGTAGGCCCCAACGCTCCCGAAGCAGACCACGTCGGTGAGCTTCTTCATATCCAGGCCTGCCAGGGCCCCCTCTGTGGGCCACGGTTCACCTGGGCCCTGCAACGACCTCGTCAGCCGCTTCTGCCGCTCCAACTCTGGCCAGCCCTTGCCGCT